CATTTATCTGCAAATTAATTTGACTACAGTGATGGATTCTACAGGCTGACTGTAAGCATCTATTGATTATAAGTGGAGAAGTAAGTGCCTTTGGTGCTCTACTATAATAACATATTATAGTTCTCCAAAGACAGCAAGTATTTCTTGGAATCATTCATATACTGTATTATCTGTCATTTGGTTTTATTTTTTGAAATTATTTTCAAAAGTTTTATGATCATTTTAAGCTATTCCCCAAGTATTGTATTTTTTTTATCAAACATTTAGGAGTCTTTAAGTTGTACCATCAGCATTTTAATTGATGTTGTCATAGGAATGAAGAAATGCACTTCTTTTGTTTGTTAGGGACTATTATATATACATTAAATTTTATATTGATTAATATGTGTTGTGAAAAAGACAAACATCTTCAATCTGAGTAAGCATATGTAAGCATGTTTAAGGTTAAACAATTTTTTTTTGACATAAATATTTAAATTTGGTTTTGCAACAAATAATTTTAGGAATAGGAAACCAGTTCAACTAAACAAATATTAATCCTTGTGTTTCAGAATTGAAATTAAACATCAGATAGATTATCTTATTTATCTTATAGAAATTACATTTTTTAAAATTAAATTTCTGATTCCATATCAATTCATTTCTGTTATACCAGTGTATTTTACACAATTCTTTGCACAAACAAATTATGTGATTTGATGTGATTATGATTTTTAATGTAGCTTTAACAATTTTTCAGTCATATCTTTCCAATGTCTGCAGTGTAGCAGTGTATAGTGATGTCTAGCACTGGGGCATCATGCTGCAGACATATATCATGATGTCCCACCCAGTCACATTATCCTGACACCAGGCCAACCAGTCCTAACACTAACCTCTTAATGCTGAGCATCAAGCGAGGCAGCTGTTAGTACCATTTTTGTAAGCCTTTGGTATGACTCGACTGGGAATCGAACCTGAGGCAGACGTTCTAACCACTAGGCCACTGGAGCAGGCAAAAAAAAAATTATGTGTTGTAATTATAACAGGAAATAAATAAAGAAATAAATGCTAATCATGCAATAAAAACATGCCATTTTGTAAAGACTGAGAACTGTTTTCAAATATACTTAGTGTTATTTAAATTTCATATCAACACAGCATTTACAATGATACAAGACACAGTCATAAAACACAATATTGCCTTATGGAAAATCATTTTATAAAGATGATATACCCTAGACTGGATAAAGTATTCTAATATTTATTTCAAATTTGTATTCCTAATTTTTTTATCAAATTTTGCACTGTTAACATTTTAATGGGCACTGTAAAGTTAAAAATTATCTATTTCTTCTGTGATTATTTAGTGTGCAATAAAACAAATAATGCTAGAAATTCTTGATGCTGACACTATTGCAGTAAGGGTGTTTCTATTAAATAGATCAGGAGTTAGCAGCTTTTTATGAATAGCATGCCACTTTTTTCCATATTAATTCAAAAGTGAACCAGCACATGCCACCAGTAATAGAGAAAAATTGATATTTTTTGCTGCCCTTAGTGTGCCACACAGACTCTTGACATGCTGCATTGTGACATGTTGCTGACCCCTGGAATAGATGAATTTAGAGTGTTCTATGCATTCAGGTTGGAGGAATGAATGATAGGTACAGTCTAATAATTTACCAGTATAACAGTACCAAAGAATATTTAGTCAACTGTCATTTGATAGCCTTTTGGACTGATGCACAGAATTTACTCTTCTCAGATTCCTTAGCTGCTGATCGAGATAATTATTGATAGAAAATTTAGTTTGTTAGTGTCAGTGGCACTTTAAATGCATTATTGGCCATATCACACTGAAGAAACAGGAGATAAGTGCCATTTTCAAGGACACATGAAGGCAGCCAATCCAGGCTGCTTTATCTTGGTATCAAACTAGTGACCCTTGTATTATCAATCCGACACTCTTATCATCAAAACTAAAAATAACTCCCAATCAGGTTTTGTTAAGATCCTGACATTCAGCAAACTTTGCTAAGTTATATTTAAAAAATTGCCACCCTTTTAGGATAGATTTTGTTTCAGTATGAAAATTTCATTTTAAATATGAGTTTTGCTAATTAATGGTATATGGAAAATAAATAGGTGGAATAAAATACAAACAAAAAAGTAATTTTCAACTTTGCTTTTTTTGCTGACAGTTTCTGATTTCGTCAGACTGAAAAATGAATTGGAAATCCAGATTGTAAAAACAATAACCCTATAGCAAATTAAAAATTACAGACAGTGGCATTTGACCAAGGTGTTTTCCAAAAGATAATCAAATCAATTTATATTCATCATTATCTGTGATATTTTAGTAGGAGAAAATGCATGTGTTTTTGTATGTGAGAGAGAGAGAGATGGGATTTTATATACAAATTGTTACATTGGAAAATGTATAAAGCTATGTTAATTTTAAAATGGAGATGTATATATGATGTACTTTGATTACATGAGCTAATTATGTCAAATGACAGTAATAAAACAGACTTATGCAGATACAATATTTGTATTAATTGCTGTATTTGATTGCAGTGAATATATAATGTACCATGCAAATTTAAAATGTACAAATTTTGTGTCATAGATGTTGAGATGAATAAAACCTTTTTGCTTTTTATGATAGTTGTAAAGCACATTTGGTTCATGTGACAAAATTTTATGAATGTGACGAGGCTGATACTGCAGCCATCATCAACAATGTATTTTATGAATTAGACAATAATTTAATGAGTGCATAGTTCTGAACCTTCTGTAGTGAAATTAGATAAATTATACTCAGTTACAACTTGCATTCTTGCACCATATATCCATTCACCTGCACTATACTGATCAAGATGTTATATTGCATCATAACAGAATGAAGACAGATAATTGCAATTAAACCCTGTCATACAAAACACCTGACTTGAAAGACATGATCTCCAGTGCACAAACCAGTCATTTAATTACAGAAATTACATCCAATGAAAAACCACCTATCTTGAGGGATCTTGTATTATTGGCAAAGTGGGAGGTCTCCTAAAACAGGTTTTACTGTATTTCAATCTGAAAGAAGAAAAGAGAGCCTCAATGTCCCCTCTCCCCAAAATACACTGAAGTACCAGTATTATGACAAGAATTTGAAATGTTAAGTCACCATCTGGAGGATTTCAGTAACAAACATTATTGATAATAATAAATTCATTTTTAAATATGTCTAAGCTTTAAACAGTATGATATTGATTGGATACTCTATCTTGTGTTGGATGAGGCATTGTATGTTATAAATACTTTATAAAGCTAAATCCTTTTCTGGACTTTCATTTAATGGCAATTAAAATAAATGACTGCCAGTCCATTTGCTTCTTTCATGCATGGCAATTTTAAGCTATTGTACCTTTTTAGGACCATAAATAAGGTTTTATTTTATGTTGATCCTTTAAAATTTAATCAAAGGAAAATCTATTAGCTTTCATTTATACATCTCCTTGGAAATTTAACAAAAACGATACCTGTTATCTTTCTTTATATTTGTTTCAATGGGAAGTCAGTCTTGTACATTTGTGAACAACAAATGTTGCAAACACCATTAAACTCTGTGTAAACAACCTTAAAGAAGCACACTTCAAAAATGCAGCAGTTATCTTTCTCAATTATAAACTTATTTAAACAAGGTGCATCTTGTTTTGGTCTTGGAGGGTTGAATAGAGAGGATTTTTGTTTAAATTCAGTGAAGGAACAAATGGACATGTTGTTCTTGTGGAAGTGGAGAATTAAATCTGATAAGAACCTTTATCTTGGAAATAACTCCAGTTCTGATGCAATGATATCTAAAGCTCCAAGATATCAAGCAACACTCAGATGTGTGTACTAAATAACCCACCTGTCAAAATGCTGTAGGTCAAGTTTTCTTAAATGTGCCTCAGATTCCTCACTTGTAGGAACAGGATAAATTTTGAAGGACAGGAAATTGTTTTTGAATATTGGTGTTTGCTAAGACAAAATTCATGTAATTGGAGTTAGTTTCTGTTGAAACCGCTTGCCTTAAAATAGAATTTGGTAACATGCACTTTAATTTTTATTCGTTTTTTTTTTTTTAAAATTAAATTTAAATTTCACAATATGTAGATTTGTTACCTTTAAAGTGATAAACTGTTATTGTGACAATAAGAATATTATAGAAAAGGGAGCAACAAGAATTAGAGATACATAAGTCAGTTGAAATAGTATTTAGTCATGTGGCTAACAGCTAACATCACAAAAAATATATTCTGATAATAGTCAGTGAAAAATTAATTCTACTGATGCATCACTATGGTTACCATTTGATGATCTTTTCTACATATGTCGCTCTTCATCACTTTGATCAGATTAGAACCTATTGGAAGAAATGCAGACACTTTTATCATGATCAAAATTCACATTTTGAGAGGTGTCATAAAATAAACAGTAAATAAAATCTTCAGGTATATTGAAATATTCCTGCAGTGTTTATCACCATACTTATCTTGATTTTTGTCACAAAATCATTTAATAGTATATGCAAGATTCATCAGATATGATGTTGTTACAAAACCCTTTAAAGTTTTTATCACATTCACTACAAAACAGCATACTCTTTGATCACTATCAAGTTTTTATCATCTTCACTTGAAAACAGTAATTATTCTTTGCATTTCAAAAAAGTACTTGATTTGATTTTCCAATTTTAAGGATAAAGTTAGTAAATATTTATCAAATATGTAGAGAATGCTTAAATGTGATGTGATGTGATTATGATTTTTAACGTAGCTTTAACAATTTTTCAGTCATTTCGCTATGATATCTGCAGTGTGGCAGTTTATAGTGATGTCTAGCATTGGGACATCATGCCACAGACATGTAGCATGATGTCCTACCCAATCACATTATCCTGACATCAGGCTGACCAGTTGTAACACTAATCTCTTAATGCTGAGTGCCAAGTGAGGCAGCTGTTAGTGCCATTTTTGGTATGACTCGACCAAGGATCGAACCCATGATCTCCCACATCTGAGGCGGACGCTCTAACCACTCGGCCACTGGAGCTGTTAGAGAATGCTTAAAAGTAAATTCTTTAGATTTACTGAAACAAAAATTACATTTTATGTAAACAGTTTTGACATCTATACACTCATTACAAATACACCACAAATTTTTGACAGTCTCAAAGAAAAAAATCCATTTTGTGAAATTTCCACAATAGAATATTTGCAATAATCACAAACTTTTATGTAATAAATACTATATGTACTCACAAGTCATGTTCAGTTGGAAATACCATAGATCTTGATCTGCCAAGTTGATCTGCTGATCAGGGTTGTTTTTCTGCTGATTACTCCTAACAGACACACTGATCTTCCAGCACATTATATGACAGCAGATCTGGCTCAGTGCAGTTTGCAGCTGGCTGATAAGCAAGGACATTGGTATGTTGAATTTATTGTACAGTACAGTTTGCAGCTGGCTGATAAGCAAGGACATTGGTATGTTGAATTTATTGTACAGTAAAACCTGTCTTGAAAGACCACTGCTATGTGAAACCGCCTATCTTGAGAGACCACATTTTCAGTGCACAAATTTATTGATTATATAGGATTCTGACCTGATATGGGAGACCACCTGCCTTGAGAGACCATAATTTTTTGGCAAAAATGGCGGCTCTCTTGTCAAAGAGATCATTGCAAGGTTCCAAAAAGCCAGCCAAGCACTTGGATGACTTCAAACTTAGGTCTTGCAGCACAAGAATATACGCCTGTCAACAAAGTTGAAGGTGTACAATGCAGTTGTCCTGACGTCTCTCTTGTATGGCTGTGAAACGTGGACTGTATACAGAAGGCACTTTGGTCGGTTGGAACAATTCCATCAGCTCTCCCTGAGAGCCATCAAGAGGTTCAAGTGGCAGGACTGAATCCCCAATCAGAAAGTCCTTGATAGAACAAACACAATAAACATCGAAGCTAAGTTAATCCAGGCCCAGCTTAGTTGGACCGGCATGGATCAAAACAGAAACCCAAAGCAACTGTTCTTTGGCGAGCTAATCCATTGCAACCAAAACCAAGTCGCCCTCTCAAGATGTACAAAGACAATCTCAAGACGCATATCAAATGGGCAGACCTTCAATCCCATCAGCTCGAGCTTGCAGCCTGAGACAAAAGTCACTGGCGAGCCCTGATCAGAAAATTCAGCTTCACAGCTGACTGCCGCTAGCGTCTTTCTGCAGCTCATGAGAGACGTCACAGAGCTGCGTCTCAGCCACTCCCAAGTAATGGTGTCCCATGCCCCACATGCAACCGTCTGTATTCATCAGAATTTCGAGTCCGGAGTCACATACGCGTCCATCGTCGATGAGACTGCACTACACGTCTTCCTCGGCCCCCGAGAGACTACCAAGAAGAAACTACTATAGGAAGAGTTATGGAACTTGGCACACAGTTTCATCATGAGGTTTAGATGACCCATATATGAAAATAGTACCTCTCAGAAATCCTGTATGTCCACCATGGCATCAATCTTGAAAAACTAGTTATCCCTACTTCTGAATGGATGGCCATATTGATATGGAATTTTCACTAAAAGACGTCTAGTGACGTGTAGATGATTCGAAGTGAAATAGTTTTTTCTGGCATTCACCAGATTCAGAATGTATTTATTCCTACACCTCCATAATAAATGGTCAGATCAACACGGTTTTCACTAAAAGACATTTTATGATGTTGAGATGGTCCTAAATAAATATGGTACCAATCATATATCCAACATGGCTGCCATGGTGGACACCTTGAACATAATTTTATTGCTACTCAACCCATAGTTTTCACTGAATGACTTATGTTCAAAATTTAGATGACACTAATCTGATGGTTCGTAAGTGAACATGATACCAATTTAATGTTAAATATGGCTGCCTTGGTGGCCATCTTTAAAACCATATCACTTCTGAGAGCATCGTAGCATATTCTATTCCCATAATGGTTTGAATTAATATTTTGTTGGTTACGGCTACTTCTGAACGTATGACTCGTTGTATCAAGAGGGGATTTTCACGCTTCTTGGAATATGCAGTTGAACCAGTGTTGAAATGATCTAACCTCGAAAATAGTTTCCTTGATGTCCACATGAAAATCTTATGGCCACTTCTTCTGAATGGTTTGTTGCATTGTCGTGGGCAGTGCCGAATTTAGACAAAGCAAGGCCCTAATCTATGGGAAGCCATAGAGGCCATATTTGGTATAAAATAAATTTAAGGGGCCCCTTCAGACTTTGGGTCCCTAAGCTGTAGCTTGTTTAGCTTATGCCTAAATCCGGTACTGGTCGTGGGGTTTATATTATTTATAAAAATGTTAAAAAATAAAAATTCTATAAAGATAAACCCTTCTAAATAAATGTAAACATCAAGTTCTACAAGGTTAAAAAATAAAAGGTCCAGATGTTAAAATTCTGTTCCAAGTACATAAAATCAAATATAACACTAAAGATGATACTATTCTTCAAGCATGTGTTTAACATAAAACTTTGTTATATGAACACATTCTCTCAGAATGTCAAAGATTCTCTAAAGCTTTTCAAAACACTTCCTTAGCTGAGTTCTCATACAAACTATTTATTTAAATGTCTTAAAAGGGTGGAAATGGATACACACAACAAGAAGGTATTCTGCTGTCAGTCGATAAACAGATTTATTTTAGTCAAGGATCATCCATACGGTGCTGTGCATGAGTCGGTTATCTGTGTCCTACACGCAACCGGTACGATGGTCTCTAATCTCTGCGATTTATTATATATGACGGTTGTCAATTTCCAATGATGGGTTGATTGTTCAGAAGCTTGTTTGTGGAGTTTTTGTTCCACATATTTTGCCAAGTGTATAGAACATGCAAATTTAAACAATATTTAAAGTCAGTACATGTAGAAGGCAGCTTCCCTTCGGAAATCGGTGCAGCAGCTTTTATTACTAGGGTCACTAGGCAGCCGACAGTACAGAATACTTTATCCAGATTACATTAGCAAATCATGTTTTTCTAACATTTCAAATAATTATACATTGTCAAACTGAATGTTTTACAAGGCTTTCTGTGTGGAAAATGACTCCTCTTGAAAATAAAATGGTGGAATTTGCATAGGGCATTCAGCTAAAATCTCCTGCAATGTTCAGCTGATGCAGAAATAAGATGACGCAGATTTGATCATCATATCATATCATATCATATCATATCATATCATATCATATCATATCATATCATATCATATCATATCATACCATACCATACCATACCATACCATACCATACCATACCATACCATACCATACCATACCATACCATATCATATCATATCATATCATATCATATCATATCATATCATATCATATCATATCCGTGCTCTTCTGAATTACTTTGAAATCAAGTTGCAATGAACCCTTCACTGTGATTCTTTACCATTGCATCGAGTCCAATGTCACTGCTTGCATTGTTGTATTTCACAGATTATATGAACATAGAGTTATGATATACTTGATGAATATGCCAGTAATTGTAGTTTTCAAAGCAATATCAATTATGTATTAAACTGACATGTTCATTAAGGTGTAGTTTAACAGAATCTAAGACGAGTTAAGTGATCTTTTATCAATGATATCAGATTTAAGGTCAAAGGGCAATTATGAAGATCTTTTATATTGTGAACAAAATAACACAAACATGTAAGAATATTTTTTTTTACTATGTTTGTTATATTGGAGTTCAGGAAGAATATCTGAGATGATTTCCATACTCAGCAACTTTTTAAAATAAAGTAAAATAGGGAAGAAATTGACTACCAACTAATTCTTTTTGACCAGTAGAGCATCAGCCTCTTGGAGTGACTCTTGTTACCTAAACTGATCACATGCAGTAAATAAAATAATTGACTTAATAAATAAAATTGACTTAATAAATAAAACAATTTTGCTTCAGAGTAAATTAGTTAGCTGTCATGCCTATGCTACATTATCATTGTTGTTGACCCTTCTATTTGCAAAATAGTGGACAAGTGAAATCAACCCCTTTACCGTTGTATTGGTGCAAATTTGTTTTAGATATTTTTGCAGTACATTCAGTCGTGATCTGCTTGACACATAACCATTACGATCGACGTGTGCGCTTGGCTAGCCATAAATTCGTAGCTTGCAATGGTTAAACTCTCTTGTTTGGATGCATGATTGGATTTCAATTAGGACCTGCTAGGATAACGGTCTGAAAAATGTGTTAATTTATGGTCAAGCAGAGCAAATGACAAAGTTGAGACAAGCCAGAGACAAAATCTTGCGCCATTTGAAACAGGTGTCATGATATTATATTTTCCAGGATAGTTATTAATAAAGGTTTGCTAGAGAGAAATATTATGATTTCAATAGGAGTGTTACAATTTTGGCGGTTATGTAAAGCTAATACTGAATGGCTTAGTTAAACGTGGTGGGTGGGTGTTTCCCAGACGAAACTCAATGATTTAAGTAACTTCATTGGTCAATTCGGCATTCAAAGATTTTCTGTGGAATGGGTAGCTGGCTCCGAGGTTAGTAAAAGGTACATTTCTTACTAAAATTGTCAAAGGAATGAGGTCTGAAAAGGTTAAGAAAACGGAAAGAAGGAATCGGCTTCTTAGAAAAGGCAGTGATTCTCTGAAAGTGCAAGGTTTTGTCCCAATTACGTACAATATGCTCATTGATGTGTGTTTGTAATTATTTGCTGAATTTATTCATTTTAAATTGATACTTCAATTTTCAGTGAGTTCGGAAGCTAAGGGTTTGCTTGCATTTGTCTCTAAAGTTGCATGTCGCGTGTATTATACGAATTTGTTCGAAATAATACAAATTTGTTAGAATTATCTATTTTTCAGATGTAAAAGTAATCATGTATTGTAGGAATTTCATGCATTACTCTGATACGTATCGTAAGAATTAATTTATGTTTTAAATTATGTGTAGCATATATACTGAGAATTGAATTTTCCATGTTTTTGTCCTTGTCTATGTCATTAAATCACTAATTAGCAAGTAATCTAGTTAAGACG